TCGAGCATGCCTGGCACGACCCTGCGAGCTCGGGGCACCAACGCTCTCCTTCCTGGGCGAGCGCCAGCAAGTCAGTGACGAAGCACTGGTGGTCAGGGAAAGCGTCGAGCCCCTCCCTGATCGCGTGCCTCTTTGCACGGCCGACAGTCTGCACCAAGTACGGAAAGGGGCCCGAACCGCGCCCTAACTGGGAGCCAAGAGTAGATATCAAGCTGCACAGCTTGTCCACATTTCCGCACCTCGGGAACGCCTGAGTCGTAACCAGACCCGTCGGTGTAAGAAACAGGGCCCCAATCGCCATGGGCGTCGCCCCACAGGTGGACATCATGCCTCCGCGTATCTGCGCGTGGCACATAAGCGGGAGGCTCGGGCATGCCAAAAACGAAGTAGGACTGCTCGAAATTCGGCGTGCCTGATCCAAGACCCGCTTGGATCAGTTGGTCGCGCGCCTCAGCCAGCACTTGATGGAGGTGGAAAATACCGCGGCCATTCAGCGTTGGCGTCGCTGTCTCGGGCCCGCCGCGCCCGCGCGGCGCATCGGGCGCCGAGGCTGGGGCCGCCGCCGCAGGGGACAGCGGGTCACTCTGTTCCGAAGCAACTGGTGGCGCACAGAGGACACTCTGCGCGCCCAGCCGCGCCATCTCCTGATGGCCGTCGTACCTATCGGGTGGCACAAGGTCGACCTCTTCGTCGACCCCTTGCCCGACGCCTGGAAAGAAATCGCCCTCGGCCTCCATGGCGCTGGGCTGCCGGGCGCCGGTGCGGGACGGCAGGGTCGGATCGCCCCGACTCTCGAGGCGGTCGTGAACCTGCTGGCGAATGGGCATGCCGAGCTTCATGCCCCTGCGAATCGGCGCGGGTATGTTGTCAGACCATAGCGCCTGTAAGGATCCCAGCTGCCTTGCGGCACGGACACCCTTGACCGCATACCTGAGCCCACGGTGCCAGATGGGCGCACCAGCGTGGGAGTACATGTGGCTGGCGAGGCGGTCATGCTGCCAGCGCCGCACGCCTTGCACCAAGAACGGTCGTAGGTCAGCAGGGCAAACGCGGTACAGGTCATGCTGGCTGCCCATGTCGCCCTGCAAGACGCGCGGCGCTTTCATGCCCCAGGCTAGCCGCCTGAGCGTCAACCAAGTCGCGGCCAGGGGACCTTTGGCATTGGCCCAACTGATAGGGACACCCCGCTCATGGAGCGCTGTCCAAGCCCTTTGCAGGCGGCTGGGTGACGCACGCCCATCCCAAATCCAGGCGGCGTAGTTCAAGACCAAATCCAGCGTGGCATGATAGATAGGGTCGTACTCCTCCGGGGGGGGAGCAAGGAGGGATGCCGTGACGCCCGCATGGTGTTTGTCACTGCGCCCGTTTAGCACCGCGGCCAAGTTGCGCATCTCGCGTAGGGGCGCGTCCGCCAACCCCAGCGCTCCAACGCCGTGCCCTGCGGGCGGCATGAGCCCAGTCCGCCGCAGGGGGGAGGCCTTGCGCCCTACCGCTCGTCGCAGCATGATGAGTCGGTGCTTGCGCTCCCGCGCGGCTTTCAGGCGCTTCTTCTCAACCTTCCTCAGCACTCGAGGGCCATGCAGCTCATGGCCAAGGTTGCGCATGTGTCGGGCTTGGGGCGCCGCCCGAGCCATCCGCCGCTGGACCCTATGCACCACAAGGCGGACCTGCGCTGACCCAGCCACCACCGCGGACTTAGCAGGTTGGAGAATCAGCCCGAGGTCCCTGGCCTCTGCAGTGAGCACCATCGCAGTGCTCAGCAGCAGCTTGACATCACCGAGGTCGGGGGAGACCATCTGCAGGCCGATGACGTCCACCAGCGAGCGTGGCTTGATGGTCGGCGCAACCCCGCTGGCCCGCTGAAGGACGCGGCACGTTAGCAGGTAGGTGAGGTAGGTGGCATGTGTGCACCCCGCCAGCACCCCCTGAAAGGCGACGGAGGAGCTCGAGAGGCTGCCGTACGCCTTGATGCACCGCGGCTGCTGGTAGAGCTGCAGCAACATCCAGAGCAAGCGCATCGGGTAACCCAGCTCCCGTGCCTCCCGCATGAGCGCATGGGGACCCCCCATGTCAAAGCATTTCACAATGTCAAGGAGGATGGTACAAGTGTGGTCGCATATGAGGCTCCCCACCTCTTGCTCCAGATTGTGAACAAAAACTGAGGCCGTGGAGGTATGGCTGCCTCGAGCACCCCACATCTCGTCGCAATTGTGCAGTCGTTGCCGCTCTGACGACAGCCATCGGCGCGTTTTCGCCCCAACTCGTATGAGAGCACGGCTAAGCACAATCAGCCCGTGGCCACCATCTGGCTTAGGGAGGCGGGCCATCTCACTATACAGGCGGTCTGGGGGAAACCGTAAGTGCTGCTCAAACACCTCGAACATCTGGGCCAACCTCCCGAGAGCCTCATCTGATAAGTGATCGAGCGCCCTTGGTGGAATGCGGGTGGGCCCCGAGGCAGTGACGAGAGAAAGCGATCGGATGGCCTGCCGTAGGTCATGGACCGCCAGGCTAGGCATCTCCTCCCAGGCAAGTGCATCCGTGGGTAGAGGCAGCTCTTCCAGCCCACGGGTCGCCCAAATCCGCTTCCACCCGTACATGGCGCGGTCCGCGAGGATGTATGGCTGGGCGTCGGCCTCAGGGGCGACGAGCTCTTTCTGCGCCCTGACCTCGGATGCAGCATGGGCAGCCTTCGCTCCCCCATCGAAAGCCGCCTGAGCCCAGCTGCGCCAGGCTCTCTCCGACGCGCCGCGAGCCGCAGCAGTGAGGTCCTCCGCGCGGCCCACTATGGCATCTACCACGTCATCAAAGTCCCCCGCAATCAGCCCGCCCAGCCCGCGCGGGAAACTCTGGAGGAAGCAGGGGTCGATGTTGGGGAGGACTTTGTCCTGCCCAGCAATGGAACGCAAGAAGCCGGGGATGTCGTAGAAGACACTGACCGTCTTCTGCAGCTACCCGGGACGTGCAGGCGCACGCGCCGCCGCCGCATACAACCGGTGACAAAAACGCTGGGCCCGATCACGCTCGGCGCGAAGGTGAGACGCCCAGCGTGCCGCAGTAGCCCAAGCCCAGACTGCGGTGTCGTGGCGCAGCCGCTTGCGAGGTGGATCCCACCGCAACTGCCGCCGCTTCACCTTGGGGGGGCCGTGGTGCCCGACGAAGCGGTTGGCTCCTGGGCCAACTTTGTTGTGCATGCCTGCAATATCGTAGTCAATGCCCTGCAGAACGGAGCCCCAGAGCTGCTGCAAGACCTCCTCGGGTGCACCCGCCTCGCCGACGGCCTGTCCATGGGCCCAGGTCCGACGGCGACAACGCTGGCCCGCGCGTCCCGATCGGTCGCGCCTAGTATTGCCCAATGCACCTAAGTGACCGACGGACCTGCATCGGCCCCGATCGGGCCTGGACTGGACATGGTCCGCGCCAGCAACTCTAAGCGGCGCGGTTGCTCCTCGCACAAATGGGCAATCCTAGGAATGCCAAGGAAAGGGGAAACGAGCGCAGCCAACAGGGGGTACAGCAGGCAGCGGTCGAGGCTCGTCGGGGGCGCGGCACCGCGTCGGCGCGCCCCTCCCGCGCAGCTCCAGACCCATGGGGCAGCGAGGTCTGGGGGCGCCCCCCGCAGCCATAAATCACCGCGGGCTGGCGAGAAACACGGGGCGCGAGATTGCTGGCCACCAAGAAGTAGTCGGTGGTGCACACTCCATTGGAGGCGACGCAAGTAGAAGCCGACGGCTGGATGAGAGTGCCTGCCCAGGATCCTACCCAGTCGCCAATGTTGATGATCTGGCCGTCGGCATTCCAGCCGCCCCCGATGGTCCAGTCAAGGCCGCGTTCGTTCCACGCCGCCGCGCGCTTCGCCGGCGCCCAGAGGATCGAGGGGTTGGCCCCAGTCACGCCAATGCCCTGAACCGCGTACACGCCGACGACAATTAGACCACCAGGGGCACCCCAGTGAACATGAGCTGCCACAGCATGACGTGGAAAGACATGATCCCCATCGGGGGGCATCGTGACCATCGCGTCGGCAGGCGCGAGCACGCAGACCACACTGGAGCACGACGCCGCGGGCGCTCCCCCCGTCTCCTCGGCAGGGGCCCAGAGGCCGTGCCAACCTGCATCGCGCGCAGCAGATTGAACAGCCCCAAGCCTCTGGTCGACCACCCGCGCCTCCTGGACCATCGCTACCTCGCCGAGGAAGTGCGGCAGGAGGTTAAGAAGTGGCCCGTGAGAGCCAGGATTGACCGTGGCCAGCCTGGCCGCCAGCATCAGGCATGGTCGCGCTGGGACCCTGCGCAGAAACGAACGTGACCCTCTGGCATGCTTGCGTCGCTGCCGCCAGCTCGGTACGAAGGTGGTCCTTTTCCGCCAGTCCCGAAGTAAGCCCGCGGACTGGTCAGCCACCGAACGGGCCCTCCCACCACTGTCAGGGGCCCCTGCAGAACCCACCTCGAACTGGGTCATGAATAGGCACCAGAACAGCACGAAGGTCCATCCTCGCGGGCGCGCCGCACGCGGTGAAGACGCGTAGACTGGAGCACAGGTCGACGGCGACGGGCTGGAACCGTAGTGGCCACTGGCGGGAGGCACACTGTGCTCTTTGTCAAGCGGAGGCGGACTCATGCAACCGGGACCCAACCTAGCAGCAACGTGTACCTGGTACGTGCTGCCCTGTGGGCGCAGGGACAGCCACGGCAACAGCGGCAGGGCCAGACCGTATATATGCCTTGGCACAGCGTGGAGCCTAGGGGCAGGATCTGTCCGCCTCCCTTGCCCTACACAATTATGCCTCCACAAGTCAAGACCGTTGCCCGTGCTGACAGTCTGCACATGGTACGCGCTATCAGTGCACGGGAGGCCACAGCTGACATTCTGCCCATGCGACTTTCTGTCAGTCTGGTGGCCGCGCAGCCCGTCACAACAGGCTGGCGCGTTGCACTCGCATCGAATGGTCTGCGCATGGCACGCGCCATCCGTGTGGTCGCGCTGGCGAGCGATGCCCTCAGAAACGGCCTGATCGAGCCTTTTTCTTCTTCTTGTGCGCCGTGGCCGCATGCGTGAAGGAGTCGAGGACACGCTTGCACGCCACCCGCATGTCCGCATCGGTGGCCTCGTCAGGCTGCGTGAGTCCTGCCGCCTCCAACGCCTCCCGCAGCTCGGCGGACTCCATGAGGTCGATGTCGATATCCATGTCGTCCCTGGCGGCTTCCTCGGCGAGGACCTGCACCTGGCCCGCGGGGGGAACGGCGGTGGAAGCAACTCCTCCTCCTTCTCCAGCGGGAGTCGCGGGGGTAGGGGCAGCAGAGGGCACCTGTGCCGCCGGAGGCTTCGCCTGGGGAAGCTCATGGAGCCCCCCGAAGACTTTGGCCGCCGTCTCCAGCTCCGCCTGATGGCTGGGGCCCAAGCCGAGCTCCACGGCCACCTCGCCAAGCTGCTGGACGTTGACAGCAAACTTCGGCTGCAGCTCATGGAGCGCGGGCTTGCCAGCAGTGGGCAGAAGGGGCTCGGTCGGCGCCCAAGCGCTGGACCTCCTCCTCCAGCCGCGCGACTTCGGCATCTGCCTCGGCCAGGGAGTCCTGGAGCACCGTCTGCTTGGCCACCAGCTCGTCGATGACCGGCTGCTTCTTGGTGTGCTCCTCGCGAAGGCGCTTGGCCTCGGCACGGGAGTTCCGCAGCCTCGTGGTGAGGGAGGTGACCTGATCATCCAAGGGGCGCTCGGCGTCGAGCTCCCTGCCCAGGCGCTCCTTCTCTTCGGCGAGGGACTTGACCTGCGCCAGGTCAGAGGCCACGGAGGATCCATCATGGACCCTGAGGAGCTCATTGATTTTCTTGTTGCGGTCACGCTTGGCCTGCTTCTCCGAGGGGTCAGCGGTGCGTCCGTCGTCACCAGTGGGAGCCCCATGGGGGTACCCGCTGTCCAATCCGACGCCCGCCCCAGCATTAGAAACACTCCCCCAGCAGCAGCAGCCGCCCAAGGAGGAGGCGACCTGGTGACCGTGAGTTTCTTGACCATGGCCTGAAGGTCGGCAAGCTGCTCAGCCATGGAGGCGGTGTCGGACAGATCCTTAAATGCCTTAGGTGAGTCCTTGGACATGGTCGCAAGGCTCCCTTTGGGCGTTTTGGGGCCACCGTAGCAGACTCAGTTAAGTAGGTTGCATTTGGAACACCGCTTGAGGTCGCCACGGTTGCTCCACGGCGCGCCGTCCCTCGTGACGCAATCCTTGCAGCGCCAGTGGTCAGCAGCGAGGCGGCGCGACATGGCGGCGCCATGGTGGATGTAAGGCCAGCCAGGCCGCAGTAACCGTTTATAGTCAAGGAGTTCTGGGGACGCCACCCAGGAAACCCAGAAGCCAGAACTTGGCTCGCAGGAGACAAATAGCCCTTGCAGGAGGAGGAGGAAGTGTAGGAGGAGGAGGAGGACGAGGAGGAGGAGGAGGAGGAGGAGCAGGAGGAAGACGAGGAGGAGGAGGAGGAACAAGGAGGCGAATGTGAGGAGGAAGGAGGAGGAGAAGGAGGAGCAGGAGGAGGACGAGGAGGAGGAGGAGGAGTAGAGCTGGGGGAGGAGGAGGTGACGTGGGGAGAAGGAGGAGAGCTGGGGGAGGAGGAGGAGGAGGAGGAGGCGGAGAAGGAGGAGGAGGAGGCGGAGGAGGAGGAGGACGACGATCAAGAGGAGGACGAGGAGGAGGAGGAGGAGGAGGAGGAGGAGGAGGAGGAGGAGGAAGACGAGTCCAAAATGCCCGGGCATCGAACCTAACTAGATGAGCTCAGACTGGATGTCGGCCGCGTCCGCTGCGAGCATGGCATTCGGCGCAATCCGCCCCGCCTCGTTGGCGAGCCCCCCGAAGCGGTGGGCGAAGACGCGGCGATCGTGCGCATCTCCATTCCATTCGCTATGAACTGGCTTTTCGAACGTGACAGCGAAGTTCGAACGCCGCGGGGGGAATCGCGCGATCGCCTCCTTGCCGGGGCGTCGAACTTGAACCGTAGCGTAAGGGGGCGCGCCATCCGGGACGTCGCTGTCGCACAAGGCCTCGGGAGCAGGAGTCATCGCACCGCAATGGCAAAGCTAGCGAATCAGCCAACCGGGAGTCGCCGTCCACGCCCAGTCCAAACAGAAAATCCCTAGTCTAATTGGGGGGGCGGGGCCGAACATTGGCGGATCACTAGCCCGAGGGGGCCCGGCGCTTGCCTCCATTCGGCCGCGCGTCAATGGGGGCAGCCATAATTGCCTGGAAGTTATGTCCCCAAGGGTTGGAGCAAATCAAGCTTTGAGGCCGATGCAAAGTTCATGTCGCCAGCAACCGCCGAAAGTCGAATGCGGGGACCTCCTTCGGCCCGCTCGATATTCCATTGGAAGACCCGCAGGATCGTCGCCACTTTGCGGTGGGACAGTTCGTCTCCGTGGATATCATTACGCCGAAAGTAAACGCCTTCCACCATTGCAACGGCTTTGAGAACATCACCTCTCGCGTGAGAGTTGTTGGCCGCATCAACCGAAAAAGGAAGGACCGTCGCAGCGCCAGCCTCGCTGCGCGGCGCCCCCGCCAGCGATGGAGCGGCTGAACACTTCGAAGCAGCGAGCGATGCGCTACAATAAAGCCTTGATCTGCTTATGCGCCTGTTGAACTTCTTCATGGTCATGAACATGCGTCCAAAAGCAAACTGCTCAACGCGGTCGAACCTGTCAAAAGCCTTCAAGCCACGCCACCGTCGACTAGACGCAAGAGTGACCTTTCGCAGGAGTGACCTTTGGCGCGGGCACAGATGGGCCCCCATATGGCTGAAAACTAAAAGGGTGGCAGCTGCTTGCGCGCCCAGGTTTGGCCCCCCCCGCGGCCCCAAAAAAGCCGCGCACCAAAGGTCACTCTGACCCAGGGTCGCTCTTGCGCATAGCCGACACCGAAGAAGAGCGCGAACGTTCCACGCACCGACGGCGAGCACTTTCGCGACGATCCAGCCGAAGAGCACGGCGCCCCACACGTCAGCGAAGCATCGTACTGCAGAGCCAGGAAATTGACGAAGATGCCACTCGAGTCGCGCGTCAGGAGAGATGATGGGCTCGATGTCTCGAAGGACCCGCTGCCTTGTGCGCCGCTTATCTTCCGAGCCCCTGTTGTTCCAACGGCGCCCCTTCAGACAATCGGACTGCGCGCGGGGAACGGCGCAGCAGAAGGGCCCAACTCTCCTACAGTCGAGGCGTTGACCTAAGGAACCCTACATAAGGAACGAGGCCCCTATTTTCCATCTGTTGAACTTCGATCTCCCATCGAAAACCTAAGGAAAACCTCAGGCAAGCTATGAAACAAGCAAGGAACACGGAGCCCCTCCTCAACGAAAATGGTTCCTGTTCCTTCTTCAGCGCCCCGACTGTACAACCACCCGTTGCTTCTGTCGGAGCGATCACTGAACTTGTCGCGCAGCTTGCAGATGCATTTCTCGCCCTGAATCTCCACGCGGATCTGGAACGGCGACTTGCCGGGCCCGGCGCGCCGCTGCGTGGTGGGGCCCTCGGCTGATGGGACGGGGGGCCTGGTCAGGCCTTCCTTCGTTTGGAAAGCCCCCCCAGCGCCTGCTGCACCCTCCAGGAAGCCGCTGCCACAGGCACAGAGAACTGCACAATGAAAAGGCTGGACTGGGCACGGCGGACTCGAACATGAACGCGCGCGCCCTCGAAGCCGGCGTTCTGAAGCCATGTATCCCGCTGCGTGCGGTCAAAGGCGGTGACCTTGAGACCTGTACTGTAAAATCGCGCTGGAACGAACGATCCGAAGGCTTGGATGGTGGCGGAGCACGCTGAGCAGTAGCAAGCTCCCGCCACATCTCTTGCACCTGGTTCTGGAGGTCAAGAAGAGAATCGCCATGTCGCTGGATTCTGGTATCATGCTCTCCGAGACGTTGGTTGAAAGTGCCCATCTGTTTCTGTAGTCGCTCTTCAATGTCGTCGAACTCTGGGGCACTGGAACAAAACGGCGGCAGCAGCGTTCGCAGGAGCGTTCTTAATGGCATCGCTGAGCTGCTGGATGGCGAGGTCGATGAGTGCAACTGCTGCTGTGGCCGCGTCCTTGGAGGAGACGGCGAACGTCTCTTCGCATTAATATGCGGCGTCACCCTGATGTGAACGCGGGCCGACTGCTTGACGCGATTGTCACCCCATTCGCCCTGGCCATCGTCACCGCCAGAGCTTCCAGCGGCCCTAGCAGAGCGCGAACGAACATCGCCATCATCATGAAGAGAAGGGAACGGCCTGAGGACCCTCTTGCGGAGGTGCAAGACCTTGCGCCTTGCGAGCATTGAATTTCTTATTGCGGCGAAGGGCTGCGTCGGGCATGTCGATGGAGAAAGGGGGACCAACCCCACCGTCAGGAAACCAGGCAGCAATGGCCAACGGCCCTGGGAAGTGTTCAGTGAGTCGATATGAATGGCTGCCTGCCTGGCTTCACCCCGAACTTGCTGGCAGTTTAACGCGTTGGCCATCGTGCCGAAGTCGGTTTCCATTCTTTCTGTGCCAGGTGCTTATTTTTCAATCTTGACGCTGCAATATGTGTGCGTTGAAGTCCGACAAACGCAAACCTGAGGAGGAGGAGGAGGAGGAGGAGCAGGAGGAGGAGGAGGTGGAGGAGGAGGAGGAGGAGTAGGAGGAGGAGGGGGACATGGAGGAGATGGAGGAGGAGGAGGAGGAGGAGATGGAGGAGGAGGAGGAGGAGGAGGAGGAGGAGGAGGAGGAGGAGGAGGGGGAGGGGGAGGGGGAGGAGAGGGAGGAGGAGGAGAGATGGAGGAGGAGGAGGAGGAGGAGGAGGAGGAAGAGGTTGGAGCGGACGGGGCCCCCTCGGTCGGCCGACCCGATCCCGCTCGGCAACCGCTGGGCCGGCCCAGCCCCGACCGAGGGCCGACGCGACAAACGGGTGCTCCACGCCCGATCCCCGACCCGCGAAGCGGCCCGCGGACCGCGGCCCGGCCCACGGCCTCGGCCCCAGCCGGCGCGCCGGGGCCCTCGATGATGAGCCAACTCTCCACCACCACTACCATAGGGAGGATGGGGGAGAAGGGAAGATGGGGAGGTCCTCCTCCTCCTCCTCCTCCTCCTCCTCCTCCTCCTCCTCCTCCTCCTCCCTCTCCTTACTGTGGTAGTGGTGGTGGAAAATCGGCCCATCACTCGAGCGTAAGCGGCGGGCACTTCGCCCTCGGGGGTGAGGACGACCAGCTCGGCCGAGCCGCCGCCCTCCACCTCGACCGGCAGCTCCAGGCGCAGCACCACGGGCCGCTGGCCCTCACGGCTGAGCCTGCGGAGCGCGTCGCCGAATATCTCGGAGAGCACGTCCACCTCCTCCTCGGAGGGGGGCTCGGGGCTCGGGCAGCGTCCCCAGCCCAATCCTCCCCGAGTGCGGTCGCTGGCAGGGCAACCGCCTTGCCTTTGGGGAGCTTGCCTATGGATCGCACCTCAATGCGCGGTCACATGCTGACTTTCATGCCTCCTCCTAGCGGCCCGTCCGTCCCAGAAGAGGATGAGAAGGAGGCTGAAGGGGACGAAAGCGACCATGACGAGAGACGCGGAAGGTGTTGATGATGAGGATGATGTTGTTGGTGATAATGATGATGACGATGATGGTGATGATGGTGATGACGATGCTGCTGCTGCTGCTGATGATGATGATATGATGATGATGATGCTGCTGCTGCTGATGATGATGATGATGATGATGATACTGGTGATAGTGATGATGACAATGATGACGATGATGATGATGATGATGATGATGATGATGATGATGATGATGATGATGATGATGATGCTGATGCTGGTACTTATGATGATGATGTTGATGATGTTGTTGCTGATGATGATGATGTTGATGATGATGATGATGATGAGGAGGAGGAGGAAGAGGAGGAGGAGGAGCCGCAGGGTGAGAGGAGCACGAGCAGCAACAGCAACAGCAGGAGGAGCAGGAGACGCAGGGGTAGGCGGGAGGAGGCGCGTGACGAGGAACGCGAGGGAAGGAGCACAAGGGGAAGCAGTGAGCGGGGGAAGAGGAAGATGTTGGGGCACGCCGCCCATGTATCAGACCAGTTGGCGCACACGCCTGGCGCGCGAAAGGCACGGTGCGATAGCGCGCGCCAGCTGGTCGGGTACACGGCTGGTATCGCCTAACGACATGGAGTGCCTCCACCTTCGGTGGCAACTCATGGGAGCCTCCCCTACCATCTTATCGGCCCTCGCGACTCTACGCTAATCTACGCTAGTCGACGCTAAATATCCTCTCAATCGACGCTCATCGACGATGAACAGACTCTACGTACCTCATCGATTACCCGATGCTAATCGACGCGAGTGCGCTCTAAAGACCAAGTTGCGAGGGTATGCAGTCGGACCTAGGCCAGAAGAACATTCCTCAAGAACATGAGACCCTCCGCCGGCCAAAACACACAGAACATCCAAGGGTAGCCTCCCCAGGATGCACAAGAACATCCGACAGACACGAAGAACACTAGGGTACCCTCCACGAACCGACCTCGATCTTGTACCTCGGTCCGACTGCACCCGAGGTCCGCGAACGCTCGGGTGCACAGCGCGGCGGCCCGCTCTGCGCAGCCCACGGAGAGACGCCTCCGGCCCGGCTGCTGCAAGAAGACTTCCCGAGGGACCCGCCCAGTAATGCCGAGCACCCGTTTGCTCCACCTGAGCGACGATCAAAAACGGGCCTTGCGCGAGATGACAGGGCGACCTGTACAAGGCTTCCGTGATTTGCCACCGCATCCGCCCCTGCTGCTCCTGCTGCATCTCGAGGGCCTCCTTCACGTCCCCCTCGGCGGCGCACCGTAGCCTCAGCGCCTCCACCTCCGCCGCGAACGCGTCCAGTCGGCTGGGCGGCCGCGCCGGCGGCTCCGCCGGCGGAAGCTGCGAGCCGCTAGACTGGGGAGGAGGAGGAGGAGGAGGAGGAGGAGGAGGAGGAGGAGGAAGAGGAGGTAGCGCGGGGTGAGATGATGATGATGATGATGATGAGGAGGAGGAGGAGGATGATGATGCTTATGATGAAGGTGATGACGATGATGACGATGTTGAGTGTGATGAATATGATGATGATGATGGTGATAATGATGACGATGGTGATGATGGTGATGATGGTGATGATAATGATGATGATGATGATGATGATGATGATGATGATGATGATGATGATGATGATGATGATGATGATGATGATGATGATGATGATGATGATGGTGATGGTGGTGGTGGTGGTGGTGGTGATGGTGATGGTCATAGTGATGACGACGAGGAGGAGGATGACCATGCTGATGCTGAAGATGATGATGCCGATGAGGAGGAGGTGGACGAGAAGGAGAGCGACGAGGGAGGAGGGTAAAGTGGAGGAGGGTGGCGAATGGAGGAGGAGGAGGAGGAGGAGGAGGAAGAGGAGGAGGGGGAGGGAGAGGAGGGGCGTGACGACGACGCTGACTCTGACGCTGACGCTGACGCTGACGACGGCGACGAGGAAAACTGAAGAAACTTGACATCGGCATCGGGGCCGACGAATCGCACATGGCAGCTTGAACTGGTTAAGAGCTCGCGCCCACAGCACGAATCGGTCCTGCACCAGCGCACACAGACCATGGCTGCGTTCGGTCAGACGTGGCGGGAGACGCAGACCAAACATGACGAGATGCTCTTGCTACTGCAACGGGGTGAGACGATGGGGCTCTACTTTGTATCGTCTGCGCGCCACCTTCCAAGACTGCCACGGCCTGTTCTCGAAGGAGGGCTGGCTCCCGGCGGGCCTGCAACAGTGGCAGTTCAAGTTGCGCAACCGCCAGGCCGTCCAGGTCAGGTCCCCGACGCCGTCCGCGCTGACCTCGAGAAGGGGGCCAGGCAAGCTCGAAAAGCTCGTCATGAAGAAGTCCAAACTGCAGCTGGTCCACGCTAAGGCCCATCGGGATCTGGACGCTTTCCGAAACAAGAACAACCGCGGAAGTGCCCCCAAGGCGCCAGGGCGCTCAAAAAATTCGGCTTCCCAGACGGAGTTGAACGAGGCCCTCATGTCATGTATCGCTCGACGGAGAAGGCATCACGAAACGAGAGACGATACGCGTGGTGCACCACCATGAGCAGCTGCTGGACCTCAGGCGGCTCACTTCGAATGACCAATGTCGAGACGTGTGCTTAGGTGCACCAGGCGTGCGGGGACAGTAAAGTTTCTGCAAATTGGGCATGGATCCAATTCGCAAGAGGGATATCGGCCCGAAGCAGAGGATAACAAATACCGATCCACTGCGGCGAAATGGCTTGGAGCACGAGGCTAAGGGCGACAACCAGCGCAAGGCAGCCCTGGACAGGAGCGCAAAACTGGCATCATCGGAAGCAAAACCGGCCAAGGCTCAACCATGAGATCTTTTCGACCAGCTGAACGGCATGATGCTAAAAGCAGAATAGGACGATGTCACCGTAGTTCCTGATAGCATTGATAAAGACGCACCTCGTGCCCCGCCGAAGTCTGCAGAGGCTGTAAACGCAGTGGCTACGTACTGCAACAGAAACGGCTCTGGGGCAGCCCTGAGCCCCAGGACCAAGGAGGGCCAGCACGCCGAGGGCCAGCCCAAGGGAAAGGCCTCTGGCAAGGGCAAGGACTACTCAGGCAAGGGCAATGGCAAAGGCAATGAGAAGACGAGGGGAAAAGGACGCGGTTCCCAACGACGCTGATGAGGTTCGCACAATTCTACCGATCTGGGCAATGATACCGGGCACAGTGGCGTGCGTCTACAAAAGTAGCGCGATGGCTGAACTGCCCAAGTGCTAGGAGCCAGCTCTGTGGGTTGGCTGTCTCTTTGACACACAGGGCTTCGACCCGACGTGTGTACATCTACCATAACCCATCGCAACCGATTGTCGAATCAGACATAGCCCTGTCATGTTCAAGATGGTTTCTAAATCATGTTCAACCCAAGCACACGTGAAGCGGGAAATACCCTTACCAGACATGCAACACAATCAAAAGGTCTTCGACAACACCACATACTGTTTCAAATGGAAGTCGCGTTGGATTCAGGAAGCGAGCAACATGATCCATCGCATCAGAAGCTTGGTAGCACTTCCATGCGCACATAATTTGGATCATGGCGGTATCACTTAGCTGCGCTTCTTCTGACATTAGATCGTGCAGGCGTGTCACAGACAAACTTCTAGTGCAAAGCATGATCAGCGTGCGTCGATTCTCAAATGTCTGTCCGTTCCTCAGACATGCAGAGTGATCGCGTCGGGTGTCAGGCACTGTTGCGCACAAGAAGTGCAAATAAGCGGGGTGCACTCTGACATCACTGGTTGACGACGGTGTCGTCAACGAGTCGTTTCAGAGCAACCCTCAGCGGAGTGCCCGTAGATGTCTCTCCCTTCAACGCTCTTGCGAAACCACTGTGCGCATGAGCACGGGAGCTCGACGAAGGGGAAGAAATACCGACCGCGAACACGCATCGCTCGATTGCTATCCGCGGGCTGCTGAACAACTCCACTGGCGAAGACATGTTAGATCGACAGGTTGCCGAACAGAAACGCCCTCAAGAGCATCCACGCTACAGGGAAGCGCGTGCATGTGCGATGTGTTGGGTCGGGCATGTCCTCCTACAGGCGGATTGTCGAGGAAAAAAAGAATAATCAAAACATTATCAGAAATAGTCAGAAATCGTCAAAGAATCGTCCCCGTACCGTTTTGTGTACATATCTGTACATATTTGATTATTCCTCCTGTGCAGGCGTGCCCGACTTAAGCGAAGTGTGGTCTGCGCACTGGGGGCGGGCCGCACCTCGCGCGGCGGGCTCGCGGAGGAGCTCCCCGAGGCATCTTGCCGAGGACCGCAGGGGTGGTGGTGGGACCGGTCCGCGCAGCTGGAGCGGGAGGCTCTGCACACGCCTGCACTCGCCATCGCTTTAGGGGAGCGAAAGAGTGGCACAAACATCAAAACTCGGAGGTCCGAGCGGACTCCTCGCATCCGCGCTGGGGCCCCCTGGCGGCGCCTCCAGCGCCGCCCCTGGCGCGCTGCGCGACCCAGGGACGGGGGGTCCAGCGCGGATCCGAGAAATCCGCGCGGACCTCCGAGTTTTATGTCATGTCTCGTTTCCCTAACGCTTGCACTTACATCGTTCGGACGTCCGGTCCCCATGCATTTTTTCCGTTTCGCGCGTGCCTTTTTTTCGCCAGACGATCCAGGATGCTCCTCGATGGTCCTCGCCGAGAAAAGGTGCACACGTCCGAGCGAGGCCGAGCTGCACCACGGATGCTGGGGAACGTTTCCATGTCTGGCACAGCAGGGGAGCCCGTAACAGATACCGTCGTGAAATTTTCTGGGCCACTGAGAGGCTTGGCAAAAACGGAAGTTGCTGTTACTGCACAACGCCCCGTATGTGCACCCCCCCGATTCGGATAACCGTCTCCGAAGGTGCAGCGCTGGATCTTGCAGGATCCTGCAGGATCCGGCGCTCTGGCTGACCCCCGTTGGCACGACCCCCGTCTCGAGGCTCGGAGGGCCACGATGGGGGGCCCAGGGGAGAGCCACGCGTGCATCCAGGGGCGCCGACGGTCCATGCCTTCGGCGAGGCTCCCGGGCGAATGCGCGTGATGCCCGCCCCTGGTCTGTTCGCCCCCGTCCCAGGCAAGACACCTTGCGGACGCGATGCATGGATCTATTTTGCCGGTTTCTCGTTGCTGTCCGCGGCTGTCTGGGCGTAGCATACTCGCGCAGATACTCGCATGGATTATCGCATGTATGTCGGCCCGAGTCTGCATGGAATACGCACAGGAATCCATACCAACTCTTGTTTTTCATGTTCTATGGCTCGCGCCGCGAAATCAATGCGCAAATCCACGCCCTGGGTTGAAACATTCATGCAGAATCCGTTCATAATCCATACTGCAGAATGCCCTGCCTGACCTTCCGTCGCCTCCGAAAGGCTCCGGATCTTCCGCCGCCTTGCGCCGAGCTTCCGCCAGCTTCTGCCGGCGGAGGCGGCCTCGTTTTACTTCCGCCGCCCTTCCGCCGCGGAAGAGATGGCAACTCCTCGTACCCCCGAAGGCAAGGCCCTCTTTGGAGCGCCCCGCAGGGGCCCCGACGATACATGCCTTCGGCGAGCCTCCTGGGCGAACACGTGTGATGCCCGCCCCTGGGCTGTTCGCCCATCATCGCCTCCGAAGGGCTCCGGAAAAAGGAGTAGGCTGCTTTCTTGGAACGCCCCACAGGGGCGCCGACGATGCATGCCTTCGGCGGGGCTCCAAGGGCGAATGCGCGTGATGCCCGCCCCTGGGCTGCTCGCCCCCTATCGTCGCCTCCGAAGAGGGCTCCGGAAAAGGGAGGGAGGCCGCCTCCAGAGGCGGCGGGGGCCTGGCCGCAGCGGCCCGGGAGGCCTCGGCCGGCGGCGGGGGCAGCGCCGACTCCTCGCGGGTGGCGCCGCCTTGAGGCTCCTGGGCCTCGCGAGCCACCTCCGCGGGGAAGGAGGAGGAGGAGGAGGAGGAAGAGGAGGAGGACCAGTGCAACCCCAAGAGTCATCAACGATGTTGGAATAAACCCTCCCTCCAAGCTCCCTCGTCACAGGCTCCTACAACGGTTCCTCTCCACTGAGGGAAATGCCTCGTCGGAAGACAATCGCTTGAAGATTCTGGAGCATACCAAAACATTGTTCTCGCGATTCTAACGCCACGGATCAACCTGACTGTTGCGTCTTGGCGAGCCTGAATCGTGCCAGAACGCCATGCCTGGGACTTCCAGCACCGCGAATCAACGTAACTGTTTCGCCCGCACACACCAGAATCTTGCCAAAGCGCAATTTCTGGTACGCTGACCATGGGAACCCGTGGGACTCTTGTAAATGAAAAAGAATGTGCGCGGCGCAAGGCGAGGGCCATATTTTGAAAACCACCCGCCCTCAGTCCGTGAAGCTCTGGCGAACTCGGGGAAATGTACGCGGCGCTGTGGCGAGAGCCACATGTTGAAAACCACCCGCCATCAGTCCGTGAAGCTCTTGCCTTTTTGTAAACGAATTTGCGCGGCACCAAAGCGAAAACCACATGTTGAAAAAGAACCGCCCTCAATCCGTGAAGCTCCTGCAATTTTCTAAAACGACTGAGCGCGGCGCTAAGGAGAGAACCACACTTTGAAAACGGGTCGCCTTACATCCGCGAAACTCTTGCAAAACGAATGTGCGCTGCGCTAAGGCGAGAGCCACATATTGAAAACCACCCGCCCTCTATCTGTGGAACTGTTGTCATTGCTTAGGCGTCAGGCGCATACGTGGTGAGGAGGTCTCAGGCGAAACGCCAAGCCTGCACTAAAAACTGACCTCGAGGTGCGACAGGGAAAAGTTATGTATAAAGAATACGAATGGAAGAGGAGGAGGAGGAAGGGAAGAGGAAAAGAAGGAGGAGGAGGGAGAGGAAGAGGAGGAGGAGGAGGAGGAGGAGGAGGGAAAGGGAAAGAAGGAGGCGAAGGAGGGAGAGGAGGAGGAGGAGGAGGAGGAGGAAAGAGGAGGAGGACGAGGAGGAGGAGGAGGACCAGTGCAACCCCAAGAGTCACCAACGATGTTGGAATAAACCCTCCCTCCAAGCTCCCTCTTCACAGGCTCCTACAACGGTTCCTCTCCACTGAGGGAAATGCCTCGTCGGAAGACAATCGCTTGAAGATTCTGGAGCATACCAAAACATTGTTCTCGCGATTCTAACGCCACGGATCAACCTGACTGTTGCGTCTTGGCGAGCCTGAATCGTGCCAGAACGCCATGCCTGGGACTTCCAGCACCGCGAATCAACGTAACTGTTTCGCCCGCACACACCAGAATCTTTCCAAAGCGCAATTTCTGGTACGCTGACCATGGGAACCCGTGGGACTCTTGTAAATGAAAAAGAATGTGCGCGGCGCAAGGCGAGGGCCATGTTTTGAAAATCACCCGCCCTCAGTCCGTGAAGCTCTGGCGAACTCGAGGAAATGTACGCGGCGCTGTGGCGAGAGCCACATGTTGAAAACCACCCGCCCTCAGTCCGTGAAGCTCTTGCCGTTTTGTAAACGAATTTGCGCGGCACCAAAGCGAAAACCACATGTTGAAAAGGAACCGCCCTCAATCCGTGAAGCTCCTGCAATGTTCTAAAACGACTGAGCGCGGCGCTAAGGCGAGAACCACACTTTGAAAACGGGTCGCCTTCCATCCGTGAAACTCTTGCAAAACGAATGTGCGCTGCGCTAGGGCGAGAGCCACAGATTGAAAACCACCCGCCCTCTATCTGTGGAGCTGTTGTCATTGCTTAGGCGTCAGGCGCATACGTGGTGAGGAGGTCTCAGGCGAAACGCCAAGCCTGCACTAAAAACCGACCTCGAGGTGCGACAGGGAAAAGTTATGTATAAAGAATACGAATGGAAGAGGAGGAGGAGGAAGGGAAGAGGAAACGAAGGAGGAGGAGGGAGAGGAAGAGGAGGAGGAGGAGGAGGGAAAGGGAAAGAAGGAGGCGAAGGAGGGAGAGGAAGAGGAGGAGGAGGAGGAGGAGGAGGAGGAGGAGGAGGACAGAGGAGGAGGAGGAGGAGGAGGAGGAGGACCAGTGCAACCCCAAGAGTCACCAACGATGTTGGAATCAACCCTCTCTCCAAGCTCCCTCTTCACAGGCTCCTACAAAGGTTCCTCTCCACTGAGGGAAATGCCTCGTCGGAAGACAATCGCTTGAAGATTCGGGAGCATGCCAAAACATTGTTCTCGCGATTCTAACGTCACGGATCAACCTGACTGTTGCGTCTTGGCGAGCCTGAATCGTGCCAGAACGCCATGCCTGGGACTTCCAGCACCGCGAATCAACGTAACTGTTTCGCCCGCACACACCAGAATCTTTCCAAAGCGCAATTTCTGGTACGCTGACCATGGGAACCCGTGGGACTCTTGTAAATGAAAAAGAATGTACGCGGCGCAAGGCGAGGGCCATATTTTGAAAACCACCCGCCCTCAGTTCGTAAAGCTCTGGCGAACTCGAGGAAATGTACGCGGCGCTGTGGCGAGAACCACATGTTGAAAACCACCCGCCCTCAGTCCGTGAAGCTCTTGCCTTTTTGTAAACGAATTTGCGCGGCACCAAGGCGAAAACCACATGTTGAAAAAGAACCGCCCTCAATCCGTGAAGCTCCTGCAATTTTCTAAAACGACTGAGCGCGGCGCTAAGGCGAGAACCACACTTTGAAAACGGGTCGCCTTCCATCCGTGAAACTCTTGCAAAACGAATGTGCGCTGCGCTAGGGCGACAGCCACATATTGAAAACCACCCGCCCTCTATCTGTGGAACTGTTGGCATTGCTTAGGCGTCAGGCGCATACGTGGTGAGGAGGTCTCAGGCGAAACGCCAAGCCTGCACTAAAAACTGACCTCGAGGTGCGACAGGGAAAAGTTATGTATAAAGAATACGAATGGAAGAGGAGGAGGAGGAAGGGAAGAGGAAAAGAAGGAGGAGGAGGGAGAGGAAGAGGAGGAGGAGGAGGAGGAGGGAAAGGGAAAGAAGGAGGCGAAGGAGGGAGAGGAAGAGGACGAGGAGGAGGAGGAGGAGGAGGAAAGAGGAGGAGGAGGAGGAGGAGGAGGACCAGTGCAACCCCAAGAGTCACCAACGATGTTGGAATAAACCCTCCCTCCAAGCTTCCTCTTCACAGGCTCCTACAAAGGTTCCTCTCCACTGAGGGAAATGCCTCGTCGGAAGACAATCGCTTGAAGATTCGGGAGCATGCCAAAACATTGTTCTCGCGATTCTAACGCCACGGATCAACCTGACTGTTGCGTCTTGGCGAGCCTGAATCGTGCCAGAACGCCATGCCTGGGACTTCCAGCACCGCGAATCAACGTAACTGTTTCGCCCGCACACACCAGAATCTTTCCAAAGCGCAATTTCTGGTACGCTGACCATGGGAACCCGTGAGACTCTTGTAAATGAAAAAGAATGTGCGCGGCGCAAGGCGAGGGCCATATTTTGCAAACCACCCGCCCTCAGTTCGTGAAGCTCTGGCGAACTCGAGGAAATGTACGCGGCGCTGTGGCGAGAGCCACATGTTGAAAACCACCCGCCCTCAGTCCGTGAAGCTCTTGCCTTTTTGTAAACGAATTTGCGCGGCACCAAAGCGAAAACCACATGTTGAAAAAGAACCGCCCTCAATCCGTGAAGCTCCTGCAATTTTCTAAAACGACTGAGCGCGGTGCTAAGGCGAGAACCACACTTTGAAAACGGGTCGCCTTCCATCCGTGAAACTCTTGCAAAACGAATGTGCGCTGCGCTAGGGCGACAGCCACATATTGAAAACCACCCGCCCTCTATCTGTGGAACTGTTGTCATTGCTTAGGCGTCAGGCGCATACGTGGTGAGGAGGTCTCAGGCGAAACGCCAAGCCTGCCCTAGAAACTGACCTCGAGGTGCGACACGGAGAAGCTATTGAACAAGAAAACGAATGGAAGAGGAGGAGGAATGGAAGAGGAAAAGAAGGAGGAGGAGGAGGAGGAGGGAGGAGAAGGAGGAAAAGAAGGAGGAGGAATGGAAGAGGAAAGAAGGAAGAGGAGGAGGAGGAGGAGGAGGAGGAGGAGGAGGGAAAGGGAAACAAGGAGGCGAAGGAGGGAGAGGAAGAGGAGGAGGAGGAGGAGGAGGAGGAGGAGGAGGGAGAAGGAGGAGGAAGAGGAGGAGGAGGAGGAGAGTGAGGAGGAGGAGAGGAGAGGAGGAGGGGAGGAGGAGGGGAGAGGAGGAGGAGGAGAGGAGGAGGAGGACGAGGAGGAGGAGGAGGAGGAGAGAAGAGGGGTAGGAGGAGGAGGAGGAGGGAGGAGGAGGAGGAGGAGGAGGAGGAGGAGGAGGGGGAGGAGGAGGAGGAGGGAGAGGAGGAGGAGGAGGAAGAGGAGAGGGGGGAGGACAAGGAGGAGGAGGAGGAGGAGGAGGAGGAAGAAGAGGGGGAGGAGGAAGAGGAGGAGGAGGAGGAGGAGGAGGAGGAGGAGGCGGGAGAGGAGGAGGGAGAGGAGGAGGGAGAGGAGGAGGAGGAGGGGAGAGGAGGAGGAGGAGGAGGTGGAGGAGGAGGAGGAGCAGGAGGAGGAAGAGGAGGAGGAGGAGGACAAGGAGGAGGAGAAGGAGGAGGAGGAGGAGGACGAGGGAGAGGAGGTTGAGTATGAGGAAGAGGAGGAGGAGAATGAGGTCGAGGATGAGGAGGAGGTCGAGGAGGAGGATGAGGAGGAGGATGAGGAAGATGAGGATGAGGAGGAGGAGGAGGAAGAGGAGGAGGAGGAGGAGGACGACGAGGACGGGTGGGTTGCTCAAGGTGCCTCTGGCCAAAGGTGCCCCGAACTTTTCGCGCCATGTTGGAGCCCCTGGGACGCTCTGGGCCTCGTGAGGGGGTGTTCTGGAGGCCGCGGGGCCTCCTTGGAGATTCTGGGGGCACCTTGGGCCAGGGGCACCTCTGGCAACGCTCGAAAAGACGGAGGAGTGGCGGTGCG